GTTTGCAAGATGATTGGCTTTAGTCATCAGTAAATTTCCATTTTGGCTACTATCCGAGGTTGTCCAGGGTGGTAATTATGATATTGTTTCATGGTAACAATGGTATTGTTCCACTTGAGCTATGATCCAGGTAGGGGAAGCTTCAGAGTTGTCAGAGATGACGAATTATCTCTTGTTTCTGTTCCCTACCTTGATCATGTAGCTAGTGTCCCTGGTACGGTCAGTGTTGTTACCCACCTTAGCCATGCAAGAGCGCTTGGTATGGCCAAGGGACGCTTAACCGCCCAACTCATACACAATGGCTAAAGCTTAACAGAAGGTTCTGAGATCGTATCGTAGCCCAGAGGAAAAGAAGGGGGGAGGAATGCACCACCACACTCCCAAAGGCTTCACATAAAAAGACAAGCAGTGTAGTAAACCTGTCAGGGACCACAGAGACGCTAGACCATCTGACTACAGTCTTTTTGGGAAGCTGGTAAAGCAGAGAAAGATGTTTTAGAATGCCCTCACACCCAAATACATGACAGGCAGGGAGATGCCGCCTCAATTAACCTCAATACCACTCCTTACCTGACGAAGGGTAGAGATGCTAGGTGCATTTTACTGTCCCCTCCCATTCCCCAAAGGCTTTGGTTTGAAAGGCAGTGTGGCCCAGCAGTCAGTATATATCTGGTCTTACCAAGATCTGTGCTCTAATTCTGCCTCCATCACCGACAGCCTCCATGACCAGGAACAAATAATTTCATACTTCTGTCTCTGTGACCGCTTTTTGTCTGTCTGTTCTGATCAAACACAATTGTTTCTTACTATGTGTTTCCACATGCTTAGTTATGGTGAAGAGCTGATTTTGGCTGAGGATAAGTGACATAAATCAAAATAATCCTAGGTCTACAGATCTGACATGCGTTTTTCAGGTGGTGCACTCATCACTCAATTAGCAAGATTATACTATTTGTTTCTTAGCAGAATCTATTAGAACTATGAATATCTCAGTGTTCCTTATTTGATCTAATAGAAATATCATTTCCTCTCACAAGAAAAGCTGTTATTACACTGGTAAAAGATGTTATACTGTTCTTTATCTTCATTTAAAGCTATTTCCTTTCCCCAGTTTAGGACTAGGAGCGCATAAGTTTGAGCCATCAGTCCAAATAGCATAGCAATGGACAAAAATAAATATACGAACCTTAACACTTAATTTGTCTTTTCTTACTTACCTTTGTTTCTAGAAATACTTTCCTCTTAAAGAGCTTGCCAGCCTTTTTTCACTCTCTGTGTTAAAGAAGGAATTAAGGCAAAAAGGAACTAAGTGTGTTGCCCAAAGTCATCTGCTCAGTCTGGCAAATTCAGGACTAGAAGTCAGCTGTCTGGTCTTTGATTTTTATGCAAGACTTAGTAAACAATACAGAGTTCCTTCTGCTTTTCCGTCCTTTTTACATAAGTCATTTTTGTAAAGTCGGTGCTCTAATCCTCTTTTTTCTTCTTCACTTCCTTTCATTATCTCTGCAATCGCTCTGCTCTGACACTTTCTGCTTATTCTTTCTTACATATTTCAGTGTATGAACAAGATGTAAAGAGGCAGAAGGATACGCAAGGTTTGAATAAGATCTTTTTTGACAGGCTCTTTTGAATTCATTGAATATAACTCTTCAGGTAGAATATGGCTGCATGTTGTATCAGTAATACCTAACTGTAAATGCACTACATTCCTACTTGGTTTCTATGCCGCGCAAGTGCTGCTTGCGGCTGCGGCAGCGACCAGCCACGGCCCACAGCAACACCGATGGCTCCACGCACTGTAGCAGAGCAGTTGCTGCTCACATCTGTCACTCAGGTCTCAAGACTGAGGTTGAGATACATGGCACAGAAGAAATCTTGGTCTCATGGGAACTCTTCAGGAAGATCCTTCAAAGTGACGCACATTTAATGCATTAATATTTGGTTGAAAGTGCAAAATCAGACTCTTGCAGCATGTTAAACTCTCAGAGTCACGTACATGTTCTGTACAGTCTCATGAACACATGATTTGACTCAACCAGTTTGGACACTATTCATTTCTTGTCTTTCTTTCCCAGTGGTGTTGTCAATGAAGAAACCTTCAAAGAGATTTACTCTCAGTTCTTTCCACAGGGAGGTGAGTACTTGGCAGATGTAATTAGTACTACAGTATACACAGAGTTATGTTCGTTAGTTCCTAAGTCTGACAAAAAAGCCAGTTGTTCAAATGAACAAGTTTGTTGTCTCAAGCTCTGTCTGAACTCAAGGGGTACTTCCTTGATGGCTAGACACATTTTAAAGTATATATTTCTGAATGAAATGCAATGATATATACAAGAAGTCAGTCTTCTATTATGAAGTTACGACCTGTGTTTGGGTACCTTTGAAGGTTTCTCTGAGTAGGTTATTTCTTTTTAAACTTTCTACACAGTCTTCCCAATTCTCTTTTATTCCATAAAGCCTTTCACAGTAGGAATAAAAACTGTAGGAGGCACTACCGGTACGCTCTAATATCGATGGCAGAACCGCCTTGACTTCTATGGGGTTTCTCTGCTTAAATGAGGGCTTTTTTTGCTAACCTTCAATTAATTAATTTCCAGGGCTTTCATTAATTTCTTTATCTTCATTATCTTTTAGTGCAGTGAAGGTAACACAAAAATGTATTACAGATTTTTGCCTTGAACCTTGGATTTTCTTTTAATTTGAATTGTTTTCCTCTCTTTTCTTCCTCTTGCTTTTACTATTCAATCCTCCTTCTCCATATTCTCCTACAGCTCTTCAATCTTCATCTTCTCCCACAGCTCTTGAGATTTGCATGTTTCCCTGGGACTGCTCATAGCTCTTTCTTTTCACTTGTATTTTAAAAAAAATACACTTAATTGGTAGGAACAAAACGCCTCCCAATTAGTTTTATTTTGAATAAAGACCTAGAAGGTAAAGAGCAGCATTCAGTGTGGATTACCATCACTGAAATCCTTAAACGTAGGCAGACTCAATAGGGAAGAACAAAAGGCTAAAAGAGTTGACCTGCCTACTGATTATGTCTGTATCTAAGCTTTTAAACCAGGCTAACAATTACAGTTTCAGATACTATATTTTTTAGTTACCCTGGCTAGTGAAAATAATTCTCTGCATGAGATTTATTACACCTTTATTACACTTAAAATAATAATAATTTAAAAATGGTATTTCCTATTGTTACACTCAAAATTGTTTATGGGCAAAGAGAAAGCACACCTTTTATACAAGTAAAGCTAAAATGTATTGTTAGAATAAATGTAATCTTAAAAGCCTAATCTTTATTAGTCCAGACCTAATTGTTACAGAAAGGAAATAATATTAATGTAGTTAAAATTGATATATACTCAATTCTTAGCTTCCACCCCTTTTCCTGGTGTTAATGCTCACCCTTCTGCTGCTTCTCTGGGCCTTTAGGGCAGTGGCATCATTTGGGCGAGGAGGTGGGGACTGCAGTGGACTGTCAGCATCTGGAGTCCTTCCCCGGGAGGAAGGATGTTCATGTTGGTGCTTTCTTCTTCCTCGCTCTAGGATTCACCTGGGGTCACTTCTACATGTTTGCTAACACATTTGACACCTTTCTTTTTCTCCATTGGTTTGCAGCTCCACATTACATCCAAATTTATTATAGGTGGTACCTTTTACATGTGTTAGATACTATCTCTTTGTTCTTTGCTATCCCTAAAAGCATTTTTGTTCAGCTCCACACCTGCATTTCTTTAACTGACCACGGGTGAGTTGTTTATAGCTGAGGGGTCTCCAGTGCCAGCCTGTGCCCCGTCCCCTCTCATCCCACACACGCTCTCCTCTGCGCTGCATCCCATCTCTCTGCTGCTCAAGGCCTCTGTTAGCATACAAGGCAAAAAGTTCTTCTCTCCGCTGCATCGTTATGTTAGAGTCATAAAGATCTATTTCTACACAGAATAACTGCTTGTTTCTGCTACCCGTATAAAGCTATAGCTGCACCACAAGAGTAAAACCAATCAGCCTTAGAAACCTGATCAATTCCAGAGACTGCTGTCACAGCTAAACCACGGGAAACAAAGCTGCAAGCTGACAAGCCTCCGCCCTGGGGCAAGCTCCCTATCAAACTTGTGGCTTCTTAGTAGCAATGGCAATACTGCATTACAGGGGCACACGCTTACACTGTTCACTGCAATTTCAACAATGCCTTTACTCTATCTGCAACAAGGGAGATGATACATTTTTCTGAAGAGAAAAAAAAAAAAAAAGGTTTTTTTTCTTGCTTCTTTTAACTTTAGTGAAATACAGTAAAAAGTTAGATTTTTAGCAGGGTAGAAAATTATCGAATCCAGATAATTCACTGATCAGTAACAGCTGTTGTTGTGTACTAGTAACAGGATTTTAAACTTTCTCAATAAAGGCATTTCAGAGATCTCAGCAAAGAGCACTGAGAAGTGGCCATCAGAAACTGTCCCCTTCCTCTCCCCATCCTCCATGGCCTCCATGCAACAGTGTGCAGCCTTAGCAGTACATAAAAACAGCACAAACAAATGTGAAAGCCTTATGTAGTTTTCCTCAAAATTTCAAGAAAAATATTCAGTGGAAACAGCAGAAGAGCTGAATCTCCTTGAAAGAGTAACAGCTCACATCAGTAATCCTTTAATTTCTGTGGGCCCACTGAGACTTGAACAGTTTTGTGTAGGTTTTGTGCTGTTTCGTAGGTGCCTGTGTTGACTTTTCCCATTTTCTGAGAGGTATGGAGCCAAAGTCTATTTTTTGTTCCTCACATTAGCCAAGGTATCTTCAAAGCCCAATTAATTGCCTGTGTTTGCATATCCCTGCATGATAACCACAGGGTGAGATCATCGTATTTAAGTGTCTAGTTAAGCAGCTAGACTGGAGACTTAAATTTTTGAATGTATTGCCAAAATAATGTGTGCAGCTGAGGCCTTTAAATTTCAGTTGCGCTTAAAAGATTGTTTTTATGTATGTCTGAATATTAAAGGGGAAAAAAAAATTTTTGAAAGTTGTCCCCAAATTAAAACGTGTCGTACATGTAGATCTGTGCCCCAATGGTCTATGTAATGCAAAACCAGATAAAGCATGATGTATCGTGATGACAATTCATATCTGAGCAAACAGAATGATGTTGTGTAAGATTTTAAGCTTCAGGGTGACCAAGCAATCACCAAAAAGTCATTTTCCAATGTTATCCAGCAAGTCACTTCACCAAGCAACTTTCAAGCCCATCCAGGATAAGGGACAGGCGGAGTAGAAAGAGGATAAGGGAGCCACAGTAAGAGTAACAAAGGAGATGACACAGAACTGCAGTAAAATTGATGTATTTTAAAAGGCAGAAGTAGCTTTGTAAAAAGCTTTCATGCGAGAAAGGCACTCCAGTAACTTCTTTTTAGAAATACACGTGAATGAATAGGCCCCCAGCATTCATGCAATGGATTGCCTGAAATATAACTTGGGATTTGTTCTTCAGCTGGAGAGGTTGTAGATAAGAATCCAGACACTGAATAATTATTACACTCCTCCTCAGTTATGAACAGAACAGATTATATTCATGGTTTCATAAGGCATACTCTTGGATGTATAATGACTACCATTTCTTGTCTCTGATGTTTAAAAGGCTTTAATGGTGTATCTCAAAGGTATTCTGATTTAATATCTGTTCCTGTCTCAACCTGTCAAAACATCAATTTAGCCTATTAGTTATGATACCAGATCCCTGAAAAGAAAACATATTTTATTTAAAAATTTAAGCTTTTGTCTAACATGATTAATGTTCAAGATTTGGGGGGGGCGGGGGCAGGGGGAATCACATTAAGTAGGTCTAATTAAAAGACTAGCGTACGTCATCCTGCAGTGTTTTTGAAGGCAAAATTTCTGACCAGAATTGCCTGAACAAACAACTCTGGAAAAGACCCCTGAATTTTTATTTTTTTCAGAAGGGGTTACTAGAAAGAAAAGATTTTTCAACTGGAGATTTTTTTTTCCTATACCATCATACAAAAAGAGTAGTATATTTTGTCATGTATGGGCAACAAACAATAAAAAACCTCTGTGTTAACCTTTGAGTTTTCTGTAAATCTACAGAAAATAATTAGGAATATTTTACATGTCTTTAAGAAATGAATGCCAAGAGAAGGGGAAGCTATTTAAAATTCAGTTTACAGTAATTATACCTCTATAATATGTTTTTTCCCTGAAGGTGGTTTGCATAGTATAGTCTGTTGCACAACAGAAGTCTCAGTAGATTATAGAAAATATGACTATTAAAATCCTAAATATAAACTGAAGGCAACAAATTTACAGTTTTCAGTTAAAGTGGGAATTTGTCTGCTAGGCCATGCTTAAACAATTACACTGATGACTGGATACATGGATGAATGAATGAATGTCTCAATAGCGTTTTTTTTTTTTTTTTAATTCTCTGAAAATGCATTAACGGACATAAGATTTAAAGGTTGCAGAGTTTTTTCTTGTTACAATTATTTCACATCATATGAAATTAACATACTGAAGTAAGACCAGAGACTTTACTTACTAATATCAGGTCTGAATCTGTGAAGTACAAATTTTTGAGTTTTGGTATATTTGGTTCCTCAGGGTCAAGGTGGCATTTCAGGTGAATGACCCAAGACTATCACTCGGTTTAATTCAAAACAATATTTTGGGTTGTGACAAATAAAGGTGTTCAGGATTAATACGAATGGCAAAGTGGTCTAGTGCCAAGAAATCAGAAAAAAGCATCTCAGCACTGATGAGGTTTTTCCATGATAGGGGGGGTTTGCCCTGCAAGGGGGAAGCAGATTTACTAAAAGTTTGTGAGGTTAATATTAATTAACCTAAAATTAATGTAAATACATGAAGTAGAAAGAGCAAAGAAATAAGTATTAAAAGTAAACAATACCTCAGCCTACATTAATTTGCATGGTTTTGGGGTAGGGAAAAGACACTGAGGAATGTTGACTTCCCACAACCCCAGCAGCTTGTACCTCACAGCAACAGGGCAGTCTCTGGAGAAGATTTCTCTTTGCAAGATATTACTCCTAGAGCAGGTTGTGCCTCTCAGAAGGCATTCAGTGGAAATGGAAAGATGGATCTTTACAAAAACTTAGAGGCTTGACAGATTTATATTCATGCTGTCTTCTGTTTCTAAAATGAGTCAATATGCACTAGTCAGTAGGTTTGAAAAGTATACAAATAATTAGTGAAGGGATCCCTTGTTTAAGGTCATCTTTCAGAGTCTTATTGACCACTTCAGTTAGTCACAGCCAGTTTTTCCAAGGTTTTTAAGCACCTAGCTCTCATATGATGCTCATGGGAACTAAGCAGCAAACCAGCTTTAAGAATCTGCTTCTCTGGACAGGATTTTCTCTCACCTGTGGGTGAGCATAGGACCCGAGCGCACCAGCAGCTTTCTGACAAGATCGTCTTCAACCTGGGTAACAGACCTGTCTTCAGAGTAAAAACGATACGCCAGATGCACAGATGGCAGTGTCTGCTTCCCTCATTTAAAGTGAAGAAATGAACACATCTTTCTTCTTGAACATATGAGATAGATCCCCTGTCACGGTCATTTAACTGATAAAGTTGCGTTCCCATTAACACAGGTTGTTTCAGTGTACAATAACATGACTTCTTTGCTATTCATTCACGTATCAGTGGTTAGTAGAAATGGGAATGAAAATGAATAAAGACATTCTAGACTAGAATTTTAGATTTTCTGTTTGTAACAGTGTAGCTACCCACATACTTGCACTTAAAATTTATCATTCTCCCCTGCCAAAAAAGAAGTTTAAACTGAATTGAAAATTTAGTCTTGCTATCAAATTTTGGTATCAAAATATATTTTGGTATCAAATTTTTTCATGGAATGAAATTAAATTAAGATGTGCTTACTATAAATTATTTTTATTGTTTTAAATTGTAGATTCCACAACTTACGCACATTTTCTGTTTAATGCATTTGACACCGATCACAATGGATCTGTAAGTTTTGAGGTAAGTGATACTGTTACTTCTTTCTCTGCAATTGAATATTTTGCCATTCCTTGTAATTAAGTCCAGTTTGGAGACTTTTGTTATATGGCTCACATTATGAAAAACTTAGCTTATATGACTCAAGTTCCATGTTTTTCCAACGTATTAACAAAAGTCATTATTATTATTTTAAAATTGTATATCTGAAAATGGTAACTCAGACTGTGCTGCTATGTAATGTTTTTATAAATCTGTTCATTTAAAGGGTAACCCAATTTATACATAAAATAATCTTTATCTTCCTCCCTGTGTCTGCAAGGTGAGAAGGACTCTGAGCTACAACTAATGTTATGGGGATGACTCAGCCAAAATAGGATTGCTCGCACACTCTATTAGTTTTCAGGAGAAGGCTCTACAAAAAAAAGGCTTTAAAGCAAATGTATTTAAAAGCACAAGAGTTTGAACTTCATCCTTCCTCCATTTAACTGCCCAATCTGTTTTCAAAATTCTGCCTTTCCCTGCTAAGGCCAATGTCATCGCCTGCAAAGGCTGATATCATCAATGCAATAACATAGTAAAAAGGGCAACTCACTGCAATAGTTTAGGTGAAAACAGGGTGTACAAAAAACTGTGAAGGAGCCATTATTTTAAGCTATAGATTTAAAAAAACCCCTCAGTTCATCTGCAAAAGGATATGTTTGCTTTGTCATGTTTTGCTTTGTTTTACTTTGTTTATAATGGATGAATGTTATCCTTAAACCTTGAGATTGGATTGTGATAAATACACCCACTTTAAATTTGTTTAAATGTCCTATACCTGTTTTTATGATTTACTTGAGTGAATGATGTTGTGAGGTCTGACAGAAATTTTTTGAAAGCATTTTCATTGCTTTATTATTGATGTAATATGGAAGGAGAAGCCTCGCCAAGCAGGTGCACTGCGATCAGAAATCTATACCTCAACTGGGACTATAACCAGATCATTTTCTGGGGGATTATTTCCATTTATTTAAAAAAACCATGAACCCCATCTACTTTTGTCTGGGTAGCTGAAATCAATAGGCTCCATACGAAACTAGAAGCAGGAACGGAGGTTTTATTCACATCTTCCGTACGTAGGCTAATTCTACAAGGAATCCTTCTAGTCAAATCAGCAACAGCAGAGGCAATGAGAGAAAACACTTTTAGCATCAGTATTTGAGAAGTATTTCTGCTGTAATCATTAAGAATAATGAGAACAAAATAAGGTTTTTTAACTTTCCTGGACAATTTGTTGACATCTGTATCTCATACAGAAAGCCTTAAGAAATGCAGTAGATATGAAGCCCTTTGAAGGGATTTGAATATCTCAAAGTGCAGATCTGTGTACAAAAAAAGGCTTTGGAATAAAATAAATCAGGAAAATAAAAGAAGCAGTGGTTTTTTCATGCCAGAACAGACATTTCCAGCTTACTTTTGTTCAATATCGACTCAGACAGAGCGATCCCCACTTTGATATTACTTGCACTAATTGTGAATCCAGCATAATTCCACTGCTGTCTAAAGACTCTTACTTCTGTGTCCTTGCACCATGTAGCAGCATTATGCTTACAAACTGTATGACAGTCATTCTAAAAGCATCCTCCTTATGTTAAAAATGCTTAGGTTTTTTCTAATCATGTTAAAGTTGCTGCGAAATGTGAAAGTAGATATTGTGAAATGTGGAAAATATAATAATGCCATTTTTTTCCTGCTCCTTTTTATCCTACATGTAACTATGCCATATTCTTTCTATACCAACCCGTACTCTAGCTTTCTAATTTCCATTAGCAAAAAACCAGCACAAAAGATGGAGAAAAAGGGGGTGATTTAAAAATTTGGAAAATAAATAATCATTCATCCCAGTTTACTTTCTACATCAAAGCGTAGGAGTAAATACAATTTAATATAATGATCTATAACGAAAAACACTTTTTGGCTCTCTTCACGAAGCTGGTGAAGGGTGAGGAGAACAAGTCTTATGAGGAGCGGCTGAGGGAACTGGGGCTGTTTAGCCTGGAGAAGAGGAGGCTGAGGGGAGACCTCATCGCGCTCTACAACTACCCGAAAGGAGGTTGTAGCGAGGTGGGGGTTGGTCTCTTCTCCCAAGTAACAAGCGATAGGACGAGAGGAAATGGCCTCAAGTTGCACCAAGGGAGGTTTAGATTGGACACTAGGAAAAAAAAAATTCTTTACTGAAAGAGTGGTCAGGCGTTGGAACAGGCTGCCCAGGGAAGTGGTTGAGTCACCAACCCTGGGAGTATTTAAAAGACGTGTAGATGAGGCGCTTAGGGACATGGTTTAGCGGGCATGGTGGTGTTGGGTTGACGGTTGGACTCGATGATCTTAGAGGTCTTTTCCAACCTTAACAATTCTATGATTCTATGTAAAAAGGATATGAAAATCTGAAATGGTACTGAAAGAATGTAGGTAAGAATGATATTTTTTGAGTGTTGCACTCTCCTTTTTGTAATGAAGCAGTGGTAGCTGGAGTTGAGGGGAAGAAGAGAGAATTTGTTCTAGTTTTTTGCTCTTTTTTCCTCAAATTTTCAACCATCAACAATGAAGTGTTAGACTTTGGCACAACTTAAACACACACCTTCATTGGATGAGATTGCTTGATCAGGTTGCTATGTCCTTAGGGTTTTGTCATACCTAGATCTGTATACTCTCTGATAAGAGTCAGGCTCTCCAACTGAAGCATTTTACGCAGCATAAAAACAAACTCATGGAAACAAACTAGCTGTTCCAACCTATCTCTCCTTATCCCATGATTGTATCAGTTTTGCGACTAACTTTTTTCATTAGTTATGCCAACTAGTTTTGCTTTAACATGAGGGACAAACAGAGTTTCAGAAAACCTAGTGACCCAGCTATTGAAGGGCTCTTTTGGCATATTAGTGAACTGAAGTTCTTTTTTCCATCAGAGACAGATGTGAAAGCAAGGTTTCCACTTGCTGCGTGAATACTGTAACTGAACCAAAATGAAGATCTGAACCTCAAGGTTATTTACAGAGTCAGGAAAATTGAGGCTAATTAATTTCAGACATATAGTCAAAGGTAAAGCACATTGCACCCACATGCAAATATCCAAATCAGTATCCTTAGTTCGTTGTAGATGAATATTAAGGCTATTCTAAATGTGATCTTGATGAGAGGAAAGTCACTCAGTAATCCCACCAATTCTCAGTGCCTTAAAGTACAAAGCTGTGCCCAAATGCAATGGAGATGTTTAAAGCTTTTTGTAATTTTTAATCAAAAACAAATTTGTACTTGTTCCTCAAAAAAATGATTAACAATTCTTAGCAAAGTTGTTGGTCATTTTCTGATTGCTTTGTTCCTCAGTTGTTACCTGAGAATTTTGCACTAAATAATTAATTAACAAGCATGTTAGCTGAGTTCCATAGGAGAGTCTGGAATTAACCTACCTTGTTATGTCTTATTTTATGTCTTAAGATCAAACACAACTTTGGTATTTCACTAATCATAACAGTGATAAACAGTCATTGTCTCCAAGGCAGTAATATGAGGGTAGCAGTTTAATGAATGTATCCAAGTGTGATTCCCTGTGTTCAATACAAAAAGCCTTTTTCATGTCATGTAGGAAATGAGCTAATTTTTCTCAGACAGTGGTGATCTCATAAGCGGTTTAATACCAGCTGGTGTAAAGCAACTACAAAGAAATATGTTTCCTCTTAACAGCAGCACCTCCTCGGTGACTTTTGGTTTACATGTGCCAGGGCTCCACCACTTCTGTGACCAACATTCATCACTTGATTCCTTTCCAAAATCCTAAGGGCTAAATCAAAAAATGGATTTAGGTGCCTGCCTACCTACTTCTTCTGGCCTTGAACAAGACATAAAGGAACACATGATCAGGTGGAATAATTTTAAGCTTTCCTATGGATTTGAGACAGCACATATTAAGCTTGTTAATTAATTTATTAATTAACTAGTTCTCCCCAAAGATTTACTGAGGGATAAAGCAATCAGAAAGTCATCAACAACCCTGCTAAGAGATAATTAATCACTGCTGGAAAAAAAAAAAAACAAATATGAGTTAATCCCAGATCACAACCAGAGGCTTTATACAGCTCTAGTGCAGAACTGAAATGTGGGCAGGCTGTGATACTGAGCGAACAGAATCTCCAATAGAGGTGCAAGGATGCTCCATTTTGCAACCCTTCAGTGAGACGTTCCCCTTTCTTGCAGAATCAGAGTTAGGCACAGGAGAGTTTGGCATTTAATTGAGGTCTTCACAGGTTTTTTTTTAGCTAGAAAGTTGGAAATAAGAAGCTGAGGAAAGGAGTAAAGGCAAGTACCAAAGCACAGACTTCTGTGCTTCTAACTCTGCTGTCACAGACTGAAGAGAGACCTGACCTAGAGTTGTGTCTCAGTCCAGAGCTTTAGGCTCCTTTGTGACCCTAGATCAGTGCATCCCTCCTTAGGTGCACAGCTGAGCAGCACTGTCCCTTTCAGAAGACAGTGTTGGCATCCTTAGGGGATGCAAGTGTCCAAGCAGTACTGTGAATCTTGCTTCAAAAATAAATAGGCTCTAAAAGCAGAATCCCCCTCTCTCCACTGGATTACTATCTTAACAGCTAGCATAGCTACAACGCTTCTGACCCACACATCGCCTTCCACCATGCAGAGCCTTTTCCTCTTTGAGGATCTAGCCCAAAATACCCTGTGGATTTAGCCTATGCCCATTGAATCAGATTTTTCATTTCTATACAATTTTTTTGCTATATTCTTAAATTGCGTGAAACTAAATATGTAGAAAATATATCCCATCCTAACTGGTACTTATTCAAGTCATCACAACTTCCTCCTATGATAAGTCCTTTCTATTGTTCCTGAGGTAGATTCCTGCACAACAGGACAACACTCAGTCAAAGGCAATGCACCCAAACTGACCTATGTATGATTTCCAAACATGTTCATGCCATACGGAAGGAGATGGCCCACTCTTGCAAAGTTTAGAGCACACATCTAGAAGGTTTTGAGTTGTCTCAGCTTTTATAAGGACATTCAGTCCCATGCAAAACAGCATAAAGTCAAGTTTTTTTGATGCATGATTTTTAACACCGATGATAGAAGGGCAGCCTTGCAAATGGGGATATAAATGATGCCAGGAAACCAGCTAACATATGGGTAGTGCATCAAAGAAAGGAAGAAAGAGAAATAATCAGGAAAAGAAAAATAGATATGGTTTAGATAGAATACATGCAAAAATGTTGCTGGTGCCAAATCAAAAATAAATTCAGAGTTCTGAAATATAATACTCTTAAGAAAATAAAGTTATTGGAGACCTTTGCAAAGGACTTCAGGAAAAGCTGTATCAAGAATGTAAAACAGTGCAGAAGAGATGTAAAGAAATGGTACTGAATTAAAAAGGTTAACTGCTAATGCTGTAATGTGATCAAATCTGTTCTGAATTTCTTGAACATTTTAATACTTAATAGTACACTCTTAAAGAGGTGTTTGGAGATTTAACCCTGTGACCCTCAATTAGTCATGGAGATGTAGACAAGACAAGTTGAGCAAAACTCTCAAGATTCATGTATCCATTTACCCCAAAGGGCACATATATCAATAACACAGAAATTTATGACAGACTAAGAAAACCCAGAGCATACCTCTTGAATTGTTAAAAAGACTGAAGCTGTCAAAACAGCTGTCTGTGCCTACTAGACCATCTGAGGCCGTGATATCTGTGTATGCTCCACTGTATTGGGTATACATACCTGGCTGTGCGGTACATCAAACCTTTTTAATTTATGTCTAACATCCGTGCAGTCTTTTCCATTTTTCCTGTTTTAAGCAAATGCATAAACTTTGCTGGTGCTGATAAGAAATTTTTCAGATTTTATAGTCTCTGCTTTAATGTTACTCTAAGACTTCCTGTATGTCTTTGCCAATGACGTAGAAATGCACATTTAAATATAAGCTCTGCCATATTCTGCTCAACATATAATGGCAATGATTTCACAGATACACGGGTTTACCAGCTTTTCAAATACAAAAAGGTGGAGGAGACAGTTAGGAAAAAAAAGCCATTGTTTAAAAAAAAAGTTAACATGCTAAGAAATACAGAAGACAGGTGATGACACATCCCAGTTGATATTTTCTCCAGTCTGGAAGATGCTCACTAAATGTAAATGAGGTTTGTGCTGTCAAAAGAATATTAATTATGAAACAAAAATCTATAACCAAGTACTATATATATATAATCTCAAAAGTCTTCTGATTTATTTCCGTGGAATAGCTTTACAGCAATAGAGCACTGGCAGGTCACAAAACCGTTAAGGTTGCACATGGACACATAATAAATACTATTCCCTATTATATTTCCAATAAAAGGTTTAAGTATTATAGCATACATGAAGTTTCAAATGTTGACTGCAGCAGATTGATCTAAGAGGTCTGGGAACCACATATTCCACTTCCAACACGGTATAGATTTAACAAGAATTTAACGTTCCTTAGTAGATAGTCCTCCCAAAATTGGTCTTCTGTGCTTAGATTAATCTAACTCCCACTTAAGATTTTTTTTAGACCATTAAACCATGGGGATTGCTTTTCCCTGGTATTAAGTTCAACAGCAACTGCTTATGTAAGGCATTTCGGAGGTTAAATCCACTAACAGAAAATTATGGCTTATGTTATAGAAAATTACTCAATTTACTTATTAATTATGTGTGGCATACAGGGCCTAGATTATTAATTATTTAAGTAATCAGCAATCCTTAACACTTACTATGAAGCAAAAGAAAGAAACAACACATCTTTTTAGATTTCCGTGCTTTTGACGAATGCATTATTCTGGATTTCTGAGTGTTTGTGAAAAACTGCTCAATTCCAAACTGACCAAGACCTTTTGTCTATTTAGGATTTTGTTATGGGTCTCTCAATTCTACTCCGAGGGACGGTACAGGAGAAACTGAACTGGGCTTTCAATTTGTATGATATAAATAAGGATGGATATATAACTAAAGAGGTAAGGTCTACTTTTTACACTAATCACTGAAACTAAAGGTTGCATATGTAAGTCCTGCTTTCAAAGAAGAATGGCTTCATTCTCAAATTAGATATGTTAAAAATAAACATATAACATATTATGAAACTAGACATGCTAAAAAATAATTTTCTCATTTTAAAGGTATATATAAAAATTGAAAAGGGAAAATCATCGCAGAAATTGTAAAAGGTCAGAATTCTCCACGTACAGAAACGTTTGGCTTCAACTTACGCCTGTGTATTGACACATACAGTCACTAGAATAAAGTAGTTCAGTAGGATATTTGGACAAAAAAGAATTAATTAAGTGGGCCACAATTGTTACCCATTTTATAAATCCACTTCTAAAAATTTTTACTTGAAACAGAATTTATATAAAAAGATTCCCACATCTTTCTCTTTGCAAGGATTTAAACACATACTTAAATTACAGTGGCACCAAATGAGTGCCTTCATAAAAATACATGGTTTTTCAAAATTGGGTCTTTATGTAAATATATATATATTGCACTTATAATTTTACACTTGTAGAAAAACGCTTTGTGATTATTATAAAAAGGAGATATGTAGAATAATTTCTCACCATACTGGCAGACGACTTTTTAAATAATTATTCTTATCGTTTTCACAAGCCACTCTATTAGCAAAATTCAAAGCTTTTGATATAAAAGGAGGAGTCTTTGCATATGTGCAGGTGTGTGCATGGGTGTTTCTATTTTCTCTAATGAAAACTCAGTTGTAAGAAGCTGTACTTTGACCATTCACTTGCTCTTACAGAACTTGTTTTCCTGTTTAGTTTTATTCACAAGACCTCAGGACATTCTTCCCACAATCCATGAACTTGCACATATTCTAAATAATTTAAAATCGAAATCATACATCTGCATCTATTTAACGAGTTTATCTATGAAAGCTGAACTAACATGCTAGAATTTCTAGGAACTTCTTGAAGCTGTTCAGTCATAAAATAACAGGCACAATCTCAAAATTTTGCTCTAAAATGTAAATCCTAAAAATCATTTATTTGTTCTGAGTCAAAGCAGTGTCTACAACGCACCTTGCGTTACACAGGCATATTTTTTCTCTTCAGGAAATGCTTGATATCATGAAAGCAATATATGATATGATGGGGAAATGCACCTATCCTGTTCTGAAGGAGGATGCACCTAGACAACATGTGGAAACATTCTTCCAGGTGGGTCAGGTAACATAGGGAGCCAAAAAGACTGCTGTGTTGGTAGGTATGGAAAGATTTTAATTGTTGTAACAGTTTTGCATATCCTACCAATTTTGTAATCCTTTTTCTTCTCTGTGGTTCCATCCCAAGTTTCTCAGATCTACTCATTACACCTTGCTTTGTCAACAATAAGCTCCTTAAGCCTATTCTAGTGTATCACTTGCTACATCTTCACAGCATTTTGGCCTGGTTGTTCCTAGGCTGACACATAACTGAAATGAACAATAAAAAGGACTCGTTTTATACAGGATTTCAGGAGGATAAACATACATTCTTATTCTTTCTGAACAGAAAATGGACAAAAACAAAGATGGAGTAGTTACCATAGACGAATTCATCGAGAGCTGCCAGAAAGTAAGTACCCAGTGATAAGTATTGAACTTGTATCTGTTGGCTCATGCTATCCTAGTGCTACCCAGATTTCTGGAGTGACAGTGATGGTAATCCTAATGCCAGGGACAGTATTTTTCCAAGGCAGAGTATTTATGTATACCATTACACTGAAAATGTAAATAAATTTGTGACCTGAATCTGTAGTAGAGATGTTATATACAAGCTGTCATTGCTTATTAGACAATTGTGTCTGCATCCCCTCTCTAACAGCATTTTGCTTGTACTTGACAGCAAAAAGTTTCTTCACATTCAGCTAAATATTTATTTCTATCTTCTGCCCATGCTGGGGAACACATTCCTGTTACAATTGGCATATAGTCACAGCAATAATAATAATATTGCTTGAAAATTTATCATCTATAGAAGTGTTTCTCAAACAGCGAGTAATGACTTGCTGGAGGCCTTAAAAAGGGAGAGTGCAAGGAGCTTTCGAAGTGTTGGATGGCAGGAGTTAACAGCAGGCAAGTTTTCTCAAGGCAAGGGAGTGAGAACCGATTGTGATTATCAATTGCAAATGTTTACGCTACCCAGGTGGCTGTTAATTTCCTTCAATGGCTCAAAGCAGCTCATTGCCTCTTGAGCCAGGAATGAGAATAATACAGCCTGTTTTCACTCCTCTGCCTTTCAGAAACAGGCTTGCTTTCAGACTAGGAGACGATTCGAGGAGAGATAAGTTGTATTTTCAGAAATTTAAGGAACCGCTGTTAATTTGTCAGTTAAAAATTGCAAGAAAAAGAAACATGATATAGTACAAAATAATGATGACAAGTCTTTGGCATGATAAGAGGTTGTTAAGTACTGTAAAGTGTCACATTGGATTTAGTGATAAGATAGGCTTGATTACATTATGCAAAATGATATGGCAAATAAAACCAACACTATTTGTTACAATGAGAAATATATGGAATCATAGTAGTGTTCTGCTGATATCTTAGCCTTGTCCAGGCTGACTCTGATTAATACGAAGCTGACACAGACCAGCAATATAGCCTGTGTGTATTGCTTCTTATCTCCTATACCAAGAAGAGAGTAGTAGACAAGAGACAGGAGAGAACAAGACTAGCAAAATAAATGCAGTTAGCGAGTGACAGATTTATCACCATTTGCAATAGGGAAAGCTGAGCAGGAAATAGCAAAGATGCTCTAGAATTGGTAAATTTTTATATGCATTCGTAGTTATTCTTTGGGATTGCTCTCATGAGCACAGCTATCTAGTAAGTGATTCTCTGATTGATTTTAATCCACTGATTTGGGGGGATGAAAGAAAGACAACAGCTCTTCAAACTATGGCTGTTCTGTATATGCTTAGCAATGGGTATTGAATAGTGTCTTATCTGTCGGCAGTGCTCTGTTGCATTGACCATCATTCTAGCTTGTCAGCCTTGTTCAATATGAACGAAAGGCATTTGCTCTGCTAAAGCTGAGTGATCATCAGAAACAGAGATGAGATTTATTTCCTGGCTGAGGTCTGCAGAGTTCTGCAAATTAAATGTAAGATTAATCTGGATATGACAGCCATTATGGTGATGGGCTGAGTGATTCATTTACAAAGAAAATTAGTACCTTCAGTAAGGAATTGCCTGCTGTCCTTTTCCAATGTGATTCACAGTTTCTCAGTTCTGTTAGAAAATTTATTTACCTCTTCTGAGTATTCAGAATACATGCAAGAGAGATGCTCTCTAAACCGCTACACAACAGAGACACTGTTCTCATCTTGCCACTTACCTCACCTTCACTTGCTTTTAACTTCAAAGGTGGCAATGTTTTTTGATACAAAAAGTATCTCACAGCCTAATTTTTTGTCTACCTACTAAAACCGGTTCTTCTATTAAGACCTCTGAGCTGCAAAGTGTGTAATTCATGTTTATATCAAGATTTGGTTTCAGAAATGAGATTTGGGGTTAGGATTCAATCCAAGCCCTTCAGGAAATTTGATTTGGGAGTTAATGTGGCTTCAGCCTTTTCACGATTACACTTTTCACAAAGGACAA